ATCTCTACTAAGGGAACAAAATAATAATTATAAATTTTAAATACACAACTATCTTTTTGTAGTTTACAAGTGTTTGAGCCCCTATTCATGTCATCCCAGAAGCCTAGGCTGTCATTAGCATCATCTTCTGCCTAAACCTTCTGAAGCTTTCCCTGATTCCTTGGAGAGAATCAGCTGCATTTGCATAGTGCACAGCATACAGCCCTACTTAGTGAGAACAAAATCCCTCTTTATATGTTAGCTAAGTGCATGTAAAATGAGTCCAGAACTTGAATGGAGTTGTTCTTAAAACAAGCTGTGGCCTCGGGTGAGAATTGAGGATTTTGGTGGGAAATTGGGACAGATGCAAAGAACAGTCAGGACTGGATACTGGGAAGTAATATAATATAGTTCCGATCATCATTCAGAGGGGCGAGTCACATTTACATTTGATCCATGCATCACCGTCTGAATTGATGGATCACCAGTGTCTTTGGGGTGAACACTGATGTATCAGTTTGAGGTGCATTATTTGAGTTGAATTAAGACTCTGTGAGTAAGGGTGGAACTGCAGGGAATAAGACACTATTAGAAAAAGCTAAAGAGAAAGTTGGGGCTTCTTTCAAGTAAGCAGATGCTCAAAAACAGCTCCAGCCTCAGAATGAAAACCAAAGTGAAAAGTAAGAAACCAAGACAGAAAACACTGCAGAGGTTGGAAAACAGGCTCTCATGGTTGACTGGCCTCCTGGATAGAGCAGCAAGAGTAATTCAAATCCTAATTTTCAGCTGGCTGCAACCCAGTTCTTTGAATTAGTTACATAGGTAGTTACCTACCTGAATAGATGGCTAGATAGATACATAGATAAATATATATATACATACATACATAAGCTTGGAAGATAAAAAAACAAATGACTGGAATAAATGCTTGAAGTTGTTACTAGCAGTTTCCTGTGTAGTGGGATTATGGAATAATTTGTTTCACCACGATTTTTCATCTTCCCCAAATTTTCTATGGAAATGTGTCCTGATTTTAATATCAGAAACAGATAATTAAGTATGTGTGTGTATACTATTTCTTTTCCTTTTGACTAAACCAGAAATTTTCAACTGAGGACAAATTTGCCCCACAGGCAGCATTTGGCAATGTCTGAAGAGATATTTGGTTGTTACAACTGTGGGCTGTGCAACTGGCATCTAGTGGGTAGCGGAATGGTGCTAAACATCCTCTAATGTTCATGGCAGTCCCAGACAACAAAGAATTATCCAGCCCAAAGTGTCAATAATGCCAGGTTGGGAAACCAGGATTAAACAAATGAAAGTTTTATTAAATTTTTATCTCTATATATGATTAATTCCATTGATAACAGTTGTTTCAGATTAATATTTTTAAATCTAAAATCCCAATAATATCTAGCATTTTAATATAGACATTCTATATGCATTAACAAGAGCTTAAAATAAATTATTAAGCTGTTTCACAATGGTATATTTTCTCATTCTATGACAATAGAAGTAATACCTACAAAATGAAAAGTCACTCTGACATGTTCTCTTCTTAATTCATGCTCTTGCTTCTTTATTTTTAGAGAAGTATTGATGACTTTGTTACAAGTGACAATATAATTTTTTAGGTATATAGCCCTATTTTTAAAGCAGTTGCTTAGAAGCTATAATCTTGGTCTCAGAATTACTTAAGTGAAAATCACCTTCTGGACTGACAGTTGTTGAAAAAGATTGTATTTCATGTTTACCTTTATGTCTTATATACTGGTTATCAAAAGTTCTTATATAACAAACTCTAAATAAATATATATTAGGTTGAAGGAAAGTAAATAGTGTGTAGCTCTTCTGGATACAATTGATATTTATATAGGTATAAAGATGTATAATAAATTTTATAATAAGTAATAAAAAGATTCATTTTTGGAACCATCTAGAATCAAGAATTACAGTTCATTTAATTCAATAAGAGGCTAATGGGCAACTTTTGGGCATCTATCACTTTATCAGATGTTCTGCAGGGTATAAAAGTAAGATAAAATGCATTCCCTAGCCTTGAAGAATTTGTAATCTAACCAACAGATAGACCCCATCTTGGAAAAACCATTTAATTCCAGAGCAAAACAGTACATGGTTGAGGGCCGAAATGAATGACTAATTAGTGCAATAAAAATGTAAGGAACTAAAATATATCTACATGACTGGGATCATTACAAATGGATTCAATGCAAAGAGGAGAATTGAAGCAACCCTTAATAGACCAATGAATAGAATTTTAATATGACCAGAATTAGAGGAAATATTTTAAGAGACAAAAAATAACATAAACAAAGCTAAGAAGATAAGACTAATCGGGAACATGCACATAGGGCAGTGAAAGACAATTACCTTGGTTGGAGCAGGCAATAAATTTGAACTGCTAGTAAATGGCCAGATTACTGTGACAGTCAAATGAGAGAATATCAGTAGGAAATTCTGTAAAATATCTAAACATATGAGTGGGGTAAAACATGCTATCTCCAAATAAAGTTTGAAAATTGTATTTTCAGTCTTGACCACATTTAAAGTGATTACATAATCTAATGTGGTTTAGTATCCTCATCCTACACCTACAGACCTTTGTACTACATAAAGCAAAAATCTGGCCTACATAGTGTACCTAATGTTCCACAAAAAATGACCACTATCAAAGACAAGCCAAATTTAGCTGTAGCTCCATATAGCCTTTCCCTTGTGATTGCTAAGACAGCAGGAGTCCTCATTTCTGAAGAGAGGTGCTCTCGTTAAAGAATTATTTTAATTACCTTAACCTGTATTCTAACATTACATTTTAGTCAAGGGATTAATAGAGCAAGGACTGTATTCTGTCTCTTCAAGGAGTTTTGCAGAAGATAGGAATGAACAATTAACATTGCTAAGAATCATTAGACTAAATTTAATACACATATGTTAAGCTCCCGATAAAATGCAAGAAGGAACAGTTCATTACCTCCAATGAAAAAAAAAAATGCCTTCTACCTAAATGCAGGTTACATGACCCTTTCTACTTGTTAAGATACACTTATCTTTCCTGATTGGAGAACCGTAAGAGACAGCTTTGAAGAATAAATAGGCTTCATATTTGAGGAAAAAAGAATTCCAATGCCTAGCTTCATTTAGTAACCATTAACAATTAATAGAAACTACTAAGAGGTTGGCCAATGTGTCTTTAAAAGTCAGACATTTGCATCATATATGTTTAAATAAATACTAAAGTCAAATTATCTATGAAGCAAGAATCCTTAGGTCATCATAAAAGAGATTTTGGTAAATGTTAACTCACCTATGAAACGTTGTTGGTTAGGAATGGATTCAGCTGCATGTAACAGCCTTACCTACAATGGCTTAGCCAAATGGAGATTTGGTTTTTTAAAAAGAGAATTTCAAAAGGAGACAGACAAAGACTCTTACTGGTGGCTTCATTATGCCATTTCAAACAAAGTGCCCTCTGGATTTCTAACAAGCATCCTTAGATGACTTTCAGTTATATTGCATTGTCCAGAACTATCACGTGGTTCACCACCTCCAGTTGAAAACTAGGCTAGGAAATAGTATATTTAAATGTGTATATTGTAGTCTCAAATAAAAGAGAGAAGAATTATATAGGTCAGCTAGCAAAAGCTATCAGCAGTGCAAATTCAGAGCAATTGCAGTAAGACCCCAGCTATCATATCTTTGTTAAAGCACTACTAAGTAAACTGAGTCTGTAACACCTAACTCCAATATCTAAGTGCCACACAAAAGTCCATTTTCCAGGTTTTCATGAACTAGGTCATTTTGACCAGTAAATGACCTTTCAGCTATGTCTTTGTCTAATGGATTTCTTGGAGAAGAGCCCAAGCACAGCTTGTATCCATTCACAGAAAAGATTCCTATGTAGCGTTGCTACGCCAAGGGCAAGAGTGATCTCTGAAGATCTCCACTCACTCAGAAAGCTACCAATTGATATATTGTGTATGGTCATTGACAGGTCCAATTCAGGGAAGTGAAAAAAGGGGAAACTGCAGATATGGCACAATACCTTTGTTTTCCCAGCTGCTTTCTTCTTTTGCTAGTAAGAAAGTGGTAGTATCTTAAGTGCTGTGAAATTCCTCAAAATTGCAGCTCAGTAGCTACCAGAGTCTGGTGCACAGTGGGTGTTCAAGTAATATGTTCTGAATAAGCATTTTGCTTACTTACTCTTATCAAAAGGTACACAAACATTGGTTTAAAATAAGCATTCTTCATTCACTTTAATGAAGCTGTCAAAAGCATTTAGTCAGCATCCATCACACCTGAGTCAAAACTCTATGAGGAGCCCCAAGGAAGTGCTTGCTAAGATTTTTCACCCTGAAGGTCTTGCTCTGGGTCTTTTATGTGACCTGGAAGATTTTTTCTTTTTTGACTCACATCCAGAGTTAATTAATCAAGTCTCTGAAAATCGGTTTCTAAGCCATTTGGCCACCGAGCAGATTATCAACATTATAAAATCAATTTAGAGCCATTTTTAAGTGTTTAACATACTTTTATAATTTCCTAAATCAACATATAAATCAGCTTGAAATGAAAGTTAGGAACTGTCAGTCAATGATTCAGTTAGCCAAGCACTTGACATGATGTTAAGGGACATTTGAAGGTGCACAAATAACAGCCCCTGCCCTGGACAACTTACTATCCATTTAGGAAGACAATATGTTTACAGGGGGAAAAAATCATGTAATAATGTAATTTTATATTTACAACTTGTCACATTCATAGACTGGACAATAAATGTTTCAATTTTCCCAGAAAATCAACAAATTTGGGCTTTGCTAAAGTGAAACAGGGACAGAATGTATGTATCCTATACGTAAGTCAACTTTTGAGGCCCTGATTGGAGGATCACAGTCCTTTTAACATTAGAGTATAAAATGCTGTTTAGTGTAGATAAACTATAAGGAATTCACCTGAGCCATAGGAAGAAGTAAAAATAATTACTCTTTTCTTTTTTAAAACATTAGGTCATGGAACTAAAGGAGTGTTTGAGCTTCTGTCTGGATGGCGGAGAACCAAAGAGAACTTGCCCTTCAAAGACAGGATAGCAGACGCCTATTCTGATGTGATGGTCACCTACACCATGACCAGCTCCCTGTACTTTATCACGTTTGGCATGGGTGCCAGTCCATTCACAAACATCGAGGCTGTGAAGGTCTTCTGTCAAAACATGTGTGTCTCCATTCTGTTGAACTACTTCTACATTTTCTCCTTCTTTGGCTCCTGTCTGGTCTTTGCTGGCCAACTAGAGCAAAACCGCTACCACAGCATCTTTTGCTGTAAAATCCCTTCTGCAGAATATCTGGATCGTAAACCTGTGTGGTTCCAGACAGTGATGAGTGATGGGCATCAACAGACCTCCCATCATGAGACAAACCCCTATCAGCACCACTTCATTCAGCACTTCCTCCGTGAACATTATAATGAATGGATTACCAACATATATGTGAAGCCCTTTGTCGTCATCCTCTATCTCATTTATGCTTCCTTCTCCTTCATGGGGTGCTTACAGATCAGTGACGGAGCCAACATCATCAATCTACTAGCCAGTGATTCACCAAGCGTTTCCTATGCCACGGTTCAGCAGAAATATTTCAGCAACTATAGCCCTGTAATAGGATTCTATGTATATGAGCCCTTAGAGTACTGGAACAGCAGCGTCCAGGAGGACCTAAGAAGACTCTGTAGTGGATTCACTGCAGTCTCCTGGGTGGAGCAGTACTATCAGTACCTGAAAGTCAGCAACATCAGTGCCAGTAACAAAAGTGACTTCATTAGTGTCCTGCAAAGCTCATTTTTAAAAAAGCCAGAATTCCAGCATTTTCGAAATGATATCATCTTCTCCAAGGCAGGGGATGAAAACAACATCATTGCTTCTCGCTTGTATCTGGTGGCCAGGACTAGCAGAGACAAGCAGAAGGAAGTCATAGAAGTGTTGGAAAAGCTAAGACCCCTATCCCTCTCAAAGAGCATCCGATTCATCGTGTTCAACCCCTCCTTCGTCTTCATGGACCACTACAGCTTGTCTGTCACAGTGCCTGTTCTGATTGCAGGCTTTGGTGTTCTCCTGGTGTTAATCCTGACTTTTTTCCTAGTGATCCACCCTCTGGGAAACTTCTGGCTAATTCTTAGCGTCACCTCAATTGAGCTGGGCGTTCTGGGCTTAATGACCTTATGGAACGTCGACATGGATTGCATTTCTATCTTGTGCCTTATCTACACCTTGAATTTCGCCATTGACCACTGTGCACCACTGCTTTACACATTTGTACTAGCAACTGAGCACACCCGAACACAATGTATAAAAAGCTCCCTGCAAGAGCATGGGACAGCCATTTTGCAAAATGTTACTTCTTTTCTTATTGGGTTAGTCCCCCTTCTATTTGTGCCTTCGAACCTGACCTTCACACTGTTCAAATGCTTGCTGCTCACCGGGGGTTGCACACTTCTGCACTGTTTTGTTATTTTACCTGTGTTCCTAACGTTTTTCCCCCCTTCCAAAAAGCACCACAAGAAAAAGAAACGTGCCAAGCGAAAGGAAAGAGAGGAAATTGAATGCATAGAAATTCAAGAGAACCCTGATCATGTCACCACAGTCTGAGGGGTATAGACCAATGGATTATTTTTGTTTTCCAGTATTGCACAACGATGCAGGGCAAGTAAAGCTCAGACCTCAGCTGCTTGGGCTGGCCAGGGGTAACAAGGCAAGTCAGACCAAGAATGCATTATTCATGCCATGTCAAGGTGTCTGCTTCTTGGGGGGAAGAGGGAATAAAAAAGAAGGGAAAAGTTCTTTGCAATCTTGTTCTCTGCTAAAAACAAGTTTCTGGATGTAATCTGAGAGTTCTTCCAAGGAATGGAAGAATCAATGGAGTGTTAAGATAGCAGGCCAAAAGAACCAACTGCTTTTTAAAAATAAAATGCTTAGGAGCAATGGAGAAGCAAGGAAAGGTGTCCTTCAAATAAGGAGAAAGACATAGGAAATGCCAAAATTGCCAAGGCACTTTTCATGTTTGTTTTTGAACAGGTTAGTCAAAGGAAACCTATGCACTTGGGAAGTACATATTTAATACTGTCTAAACCAAAGGACTTCCCAATCCACTTTATGTGTACATATATATGTATATATCCCATATATACATATACTTAGATTTGTCTTTAGTGTACATTGACGTTTATGTGGAGGAAGGTGTCCATTTGCAGATAGGATGGTCTTTCCCTAGAAAGTCAAATCAACCTTAGCCAAATATATAGACTCATTAACAGCCATTCTAAATCAACCCAAGTGTCTCAGCAGTGTCATTCAACTGTGGGATGAGCAAAATAAACAGATATGAGTTCGTTAGATTATGCATATTATGTCATCATCAGTCATCTAGACTTTTGCTTTGGATGACTTAGCAAAAAAAACACAAAATGTATTTGAATTAATTGCTAATGGACAAGGTTTACAGTTTCATATCAGAAATAAAGAGTTGACATGGATTATCATTGGCTTTTACTGTATTTGGAAGGCAGATATGGCTGCTTTCAGTGAGTTCACCCAACCGCAAATGAGCACTTTACAGATTATCCATACAGGTGTCTAAGGGTGCACCAGTATGTGTATGTGAGTTGGGGTATTCCATAGTTATACCGTTCGTATTTTAGATAGGGAAATTAACTGCCATGGAATATGGATAATTAACATAGGAGAAAGGAGAGACATAACTAGGGAAACTCGTAGAGTGAAATAGAGTAAAATGGGCCATACCCACTCATCACACGCCATCTACTGGTTCTTAGTGTAAGGAAACTATTCTAATCTTATAAACTCTAGTATATTCCTTGCATTAGTATTTGGAACATAATCCAGGCCATGATCACCATAGTAGTGGTCACTATACCTACTGCAGTATCATTCTGTAGCTTCTTACAATAGCGTTGCTCTTGCTACCTGGAAAGTGCTCCTCAGTTGGCCCACCTCCTAGGGTAATCACAGCTCTCCACAGGTGGCATATTAACTGTAACTGCTGCTGAATTCTTTCTCAAACAAAAGTACTGAGGTAAATGTTTTCCTTAAGTTAAAGTTTAAAACTACTCCCAAGCAGATGGACTGGTTGGGTGCTTACTTGAACTAACGCTGTGCTTCCTGTCACAGAAAATTACGAGAAAATGCCTTTTCCCATGCCAAGCAGTAACATAATTTATTTCCAGGTAGGACAGAATAAATGTCCAGTGATTAAAAAATCTGCTAGTAAGCTCTTTTACCTAGAAGAAAGCTACTGTTTCCCATCAACTTTGTTTCTATATTTTAATCAAATTAATAATATCTAAAATAATGAAACTCCTTGACTCAATTATGCTCAGAAAAAAGATACGAACCATTTCATTCTTGTTATCGTCACTGGAAATGAAGTTGGTAAACTAATGAAGTTACAAAACAAGTGTACTTAGACATATAGCTTTCCAGAATATAAAAGGGAAAGGGAATAGTCCCTAAAATGAAAACATTTAAGCAGCATTTTATTTATTAAATGGAGTTTGCTTTGTTTTGCCTTGAGGTAATTGGGTTTCAACAGGAAATGATCCATGTCTTCTCCATTGTGTCAATTTGAGTGCAATATCTATAGATTTCATAACCAGAGGGTTTTTGTTTTTATGTTATTTGTAAAATCATGTCACAAATACCCCTAGTCTTTGGCCTCACGAACTGCTGTGCTAGAATGAACTGGCATTTGGTATGACTAGCCTCCAGACCATGATCTCGTATCTGAAGTAGAAGTTTCTGAGATTTTTGGTTTGGGTTTTGATTTTTGTTTGGGTGAGGGTTTTGTGGTGGGGGTGCAGGGAGGAGAAGAATTCCTCTTACAGATTGCCCATCATTTGTAAAGATTTTTGTTTTTTGGCGTCCCTTGCAAAACATGGGAGATAATTGTTTAGAAAGTTCATTATCTATCACTCCTTTTCTTCCCACTGTGTGCCACGCTCCACTCATTCACCTATTTTTTAAAAGACTGGATATTGCAGTTAGTTTTTTGTTGGTTCCTATAGACCATTCCACATGCAAAGAAGATTGGCAGGCTGATTTAGAGAAAGAATCAAACACACTGGTTGTCAAACGCATGTGAAGGATATGGCATATCCTGCAAAACGACCAGGCAGTGCTAATGTTACATTTCCATCCAGATAGTCTCTATTTGGATAGGGAGAAACAGTTCTTTTTTTTTTTTTTTTTAGTTTATGTCTTCAAGAATCAAAGTGTCTAAGATAAATATGAATTTCTCGTTTGAGTGACTAACTAGAGGGCATTTTGGAAGGAACATTATCTTTTCCAGGACACAGTAGTTCTCTTTAGTGAACTGTAGCAATAATTTACTGAAATGGAATCCTTTGTTCTGGAAGAGTTAATATACCACCTAAAATGCCTTAACTCAGTCCTAGGAAGTAATTTAATACTAAGAAGAATCTAACAGAGCATCATCTGACCTCCGCACCTCACTGTGAAACAGATGTTTTCAAGAATTCCATTTCCTGAATGCTAAGATATATAAGATATATCCTAAGATAAGAGATTATGATTTGCAGGTCACACCCAATCTCAACCTTTTTTGGCAGCTTCTGTGCCCCTCTCTAGTTTTTCACGTTTGCACTCATTGTTTTGTTTATTTGTAAAGTACTAATGCCGTTTAAGATTAAGAACTTATCTATTGTCAGCAGATAACCAGTCAACTCCTAGAAGAGGAGAAATGTGTGGGAAATATGTCAGCTTTGTGTAATATTTTATTTAATTGAAATATGTATGCCTCTAAAGTAAGAAGTTTGAAAAAAGCACTCCTTTTCTGTATTTAAACTGGAATGTGGATTTATTTCCTTCCATCAGAATTTAAATTTGGATTAGAGCGTACCATGTGAGCTCCACTCTCTTTGATGTCATAAACTTCAAAAAGGTATTCACCTAATTACAGAAAGAGATCAGCTCAAAGTTAGATTCTTAACTCCTTATGGTTAAAGGTAATCATGTGTTAGACCAGGCTTAATTCTTTTTAATGAAAGTCATGTTTAGATACTTTCCCATGAATTTTTGCAGTGGCTTTGAACCTCTTTGAAGGTTGTGCATAAGTATTCTATGAAAGAACTATTCTCCTCTGTCGTTGTATCATGTTAATGGCTCTTTCCTATTTGATTCCCATTTATTTCCACAGAATTTAGATTTTTTAGCCTTGTGAGGTGAGAGGAATAATGCTAACAAGTGAAGTTTTATGATGCTATTATAGTTATTCTTGAATGTTGAATTCAAGAGAGTAAAAGCTTTGTTTATTTTGCAATTATCTACTACACTTTCCATAATAAGCTAATCCTTCTTGGCTTGTGGTTAGAGCTAGGGATTAACTATTGCCATTTGGAATTACATGTATTTTTATAAGTTGACTGTAAATTTCATAATTACAGTCACATATTTTTTATGACCAAATAGTTATGAATGCACGGCACTATGCATGCATCATTATTAATAGTATGTAGATTATTAAAGACACTATTTTCAGAGTTATTGCAACTTTTATTAAAATTCTTACATCATCTATTCATAAATGCCTCATGGCTTTTGGTCCCATGGGCCTAAAGTCCAAGAAAGTTCCATCCCAAGGTAAACAATTTAAGAATTGCCTTCCCTGGGTATCAGTAGCAGTCATCTCTTCTAGAATGGCCTTTGGAAAATCCCAGAAGCCAAATCTGGCTTCCAGGCAAAGGGCCTAGCATATTCTGTATTGGTTAGTAAATAAATATACTGTTTTTGTCTTTCTTATGGTGAAGCAGGGAATATAATGCCTCGAGAATGGCATTTAGATACTGTCTTTTAGAGATTGGAGAATTCAACGATTTGTTCCACATCCTACCAGAGGAATCTTTCTGTTCAGTCTGGTTTGCTGGTGTCTGAGAATGGTATTGGCAATCTTTGCAAAAAATGAATCTGAAAACTGTTACTTATTTTTAAAAAGCCTCAGAAGCACTTTTCTTCCCTTTAAAAAAAAAAAAAAAGGTTTTGGTTTTGCTTTTTCTGGATTACCAAAATTTTGTAACAACTTTATAACATTGACGCAGAATATATTTATGGTTGAATTGGTATGCCCTTGATATCTCCTCATCTTCAATCTCAATATAAAACTGAAAATCATCACTGTGGTGCAGACCTTTACACTAATATTTTTAGGCAATGGTGTGCAGATATATTGTATAGGGAAAAATCAAATTTTTTACTACTTTGCCTGCAAAATAACTGCAATGATATTGACCCAAATGAAAGCAGCAAAATCGTAAGTGAAAGCCACAAAGCCTCATTGCATGAGGTCCATCAGGGTAGGGACTGTGTATGGGTACAGTAGCAGTAAATTACCTTGACTTCTCAACTAAAGGACCAAGGTTCATGCACCATCATATTTTACTTAGGATCACAAGAGGTGGTGTTCTGTGTCTGAGGTGTTGTGGAGTTAGAGCAGACAACATTTGAAATGAGACTGGAAGATTATTGAGAGATGAGCCCACATCTCAGAAATCAAGATGTCTGTAAGTAGGTGTGATAGAACCAGTGGAATAATACCACATATTCTGTGATTTAGAATACAGCAGAGAGAATCATGTGGTGTCACAAAATTATAGATTGCCAACTGCTAGCAAACTTGATCATAGGCAAATACATCACATTTGAAGACTGTGTTCTCGTTTATCAAATTCATAACCTAATCTTTGCTGTAGGAGGTGCTCCTGAATTTCTAAGCACAAAGGAAGAGCCATGGACTGTTTTGTTAGTAAAAGTGAAAAGCTAGGGAGACTCTGAAAAGCAGCTTTAATTAAGCACCCCGATAGGTATCATTCATTCCCAGAGTGACTCTCATCATTGACTAGATTTTGTGAGTCTTTAACTCACTTTCTCTGATCAGTTTTTTTTCCATACTTAATGAGGACTTCTCTGTTGCTGATAAAGAAGCCACTTACTTTTCTTAAGAAATGAAAAACAATTCCAAAGAGCAATATACAGGGTTAAGTATATATTTATAGTATAGCTTGCTAGTCTACAAATCACATTTTATGTCTTCTGCATCTCTAACCATGTCAAAATTAAATGGGCTTATACTTCAAACTGAAAACCTTAAACTTAAACTGAAACCTCTAGAAGGTAGATATTTTTAATGTAATGAAGTGTTTATAAAGAAAACCATCACTGATTTTGCACTATCTTAAATTATAGAAAGCCAGCTCCTACTATTTTTCCCCGCTTGAAAATTTCCCTTAAGAAAGATCTCACAGGTCATGATAATTACGAAGTCTTAAAAATCATAAGAAAACTTAAGGAACAGAGTAGGAATCAACCACTGATGATGTGTCATTCCTGCTGTGTATGACATGATTGTACTTATCTGAGATGAGGTTTTTAGAAGTCATTTGTAACTGGGCTCTGGTTTCCCAACAGCTAATGACAATGTCTGATAGAGGAGCATTACTGTTTTTTTCTTTCCCTTTGTTGAGACAGTTTGTAGAGTAAGCATGTTACCCACAGGGCTCTGTCAAACGGGGGGGGGGAGGGGGGGCGGGGGTGGAAATCTAATGCATTGAAAGATTGCATTGAAGAATTTTCTAGGAATAACTACGAGAGACTCTCATGGAGGAAAGATTAGTGGAGTTTAATAAAAATGTATAACTTTTCAGTGCTATGTAAATTTAACATATTCTTAGTAGAGGCAGTCTACAGTATGTTATGGGGAGCATTTAAATTATCTAATGTAATATCGTTACTAGAATCTCTCCCTGGACACTGAAACACGTTCTATCATTTTATCTGAGGAATTCACTGTTGGTAGCACACCGATAGAGCTGGAAAAAAAAATAACAGGCCCTCATATTTTTGCATCTCCTGGTACAGTCTGCAACATCTATTTCAAGTAGAATAAGGAAATTCGGGCATCTTTTTTCACAAACAAAAAATTGTGCTATGAACTGATAAATTAGACCTCAAACTGGCCAATGCAAAGATTCCAATGTTTTAGTAGAGTTTCAGCACCAACTTTATTATACTTTCCTGTTCATTATGCATATTTTTCAGTAACGGACTGTTTTGCTCTTAACTAGGAAGTCTGTCACAGATTGAAAAGGGCAGAGATCTCTCTAAGCTACCTCATAAGGGTATTTAAAGAAAAAAATGACACGCAATCTTTGATTAAATGGAAATATGTTAAAGCCACAAAGCAATATTATTTATCACCTTTCCTTGATGTTCATTCACTTTATCAAATTAGACAAGGCAAAATGTAAAATGAGCACTCCTCTATGCAGTCCCACATTCTGGTTAACAAAATATTCATTAATATAAAATCTCTCAGGGCAGTTGTCAGTTGTCTCTCTACAGATATCTCAGAGCACAAAAATTGACTCAGAAAGACAGTAATCTGACTTTACGTAGAGGCAGTGGCCTACCTAGTAAGATGCACAAATAATCTATGGATAACTTCGGAAAAAATTCCAAGTGCATTTCACTTATCACTTTTCTTGGAGGAAAAAATCTGCTTATGTGTTTGTTTATTTATTTGTTTAATTATTCTAGGCAAATAGAAAGAGACAAAATTACCATTATTTGGCATTTTACTTAAGTTTTCTTTTCCTCTGGAAGGCATTGCTATTATTTTCTGATAAATTCAGGTTTTTAAAACACAGGTCACTTATGGAAACATTAGCATCAATGAAAAGAAAACCCCTAGGAAGAAACAGGCTTCATCCATGAATAGGCAAACTGTAGGAATTCAAGTAAATGTTAAGCATTTTTATTTTTTTTCCTAAAACAAAAACCCCCTTGTTCTTAATCCTAGCTAGACAAAATTTCTAATTTCTACAGCAAAGAAAGATGACTAAATGTATGAAATTATGAAATTTTGATGTATTAACACTACAAACCTCATGGCAAACCACCAATTCCAGATGTCTTTACCCAAAAGAATATTTTTTCTAAAATGCTCTATTACATATAGGTTCATCACATTCATGAAAACGGCTTCATTTATCATGCCCAAAATACTACAAACAAAGCCATTATAGCTTTCTGCTCTGTAGTGCTGTACCTTGGGCTCCACGACTAAAGCTACCTTACTGAGGAAAGCTTAAAAACGAATTTTGGACAAAAGTGTCAAATCAAAAAAAAATTACCTAAGTTGTATTTCCATCCAAAAAATCTGTGAAATAGAAGACTGTTGTGTGGCCATTTTAGATCTCACCAAGAAGAAAATATTCTAAAAGTACTCATTTCGGATCTTACTAAGAACCAAAACCAAAAGTCCTTCCAAAGTTTCCAATTCACTTGAATTTGGTCCATTATCAAAACTTACCTCTATGTTGATAAGTGAAAAAAATAGTTTGTAAACCAGGTTTTTCTTAACTATAACAGAAACAAATAAAGAACAAGTTATTTCCCATAGATTTGAATGTATAAACATACATTTAATAATTAAATGAATCTCATACCTTGGTCAAGGGAAATTATGTTCCAAATATTTATTTGTTCTGTTTACCATTATTTTCATAGTTTGGACACATTGAAATACAATAATTTTAGTTAAATTGCTCAGAATTGCTCTGCATAAGATATTTATTATCTAGAGCTTAAAGGTAAAAATCTTAAGAAAAATAGCAATTAAATCTTAGCTACCTGGAAAACAATGTGATCAACGTTGTATTTACTACAATGCCACTAGGCAAAGTTAAACACAGCATTTCTGGCTATCTTGACTTTTTAGTTTAACAAAAGAAATCTAGTTCCATTCGTTATAATAAGAAATAATTTATATATTAAAATAGCGATAAATTATATGTGTATATATTCTATAGTTCTTAGGGTCATATACGAGGTCTTTTAAAATCACAACCTCAAATGCTGTAAAAGCTAGGTGATTCTTAAATTCACCAGACTTTCCTTCACTTTTTTATTGATATTATTAAATGTCACATGGAATATCATAATATGCAACTTATTCCTCTTACTTCAGTGAGATCTTCAAGTGTGCTACCTTTTCGGGAAAGATTTTTCTAGGCTACGAATTAAACTTCCTAAACAAAGCATCTTATAACATCACAATGTAAAATAACATAATCTATGTTTTTTTAGTCTTTTATTGAATCACATGTTCTATAATGTAAATCTTTATCCTTTAAACCTTTAAGAATACATACATTAAAAGTAATACTGTGATAATATATATCAATTATCTCTACATGGTTAAGATAAAGCATTCTGAAGCAAATACAAAATGTCTTAGCATTCCTGAGAGGTATTTTTATGAATCCTTACATTCACAAGTATCTCTTAAACACGAAAATTACTAAAGTATTACTAAAAGATTTAAATAGCACTTTAAGACCCCTTAATAATTACATTACCTTCAAATCTAAAGCAATTTATTATCAGGTCAAATAAATTCTACCTAAAATTTCTCACTGCATTACATTGCATTATTGTAGTAACATTAGCTGTAAAAATACTTGAACCAACATTTTTCTCACCATATGAGAGCTGCAGATTATGGAGACAATGAATAAGCCAGCTGCTATTCAGTAGTACCCAGGGATTACTCACAAAGCACATTCCTTTGGCTGCACGCTTTACAGCTTCAAGCCTGGGCATAATTGTTCATGGGCTGTCAGCACCACTTCTAAGTCACTAAAGTCAATAATGTTAAATATTTCAGTATCTAAGTCGACTGTATTTTGATGAATAAGGTTGTGGCATTATAAATAATGCATAGATAACCAACATTCAAAATATTTAAATTCACCTGATGCCAAAAATATACTTAAACAATTTAATATTTCACAACCCACTTCAAAAGCTTTGTCATTGCAAAGCTTTCCTCATTATTGACATATAATGAGGAGACAAAAGAAGTCTTAGTAATATTTCATTTTATGTAGTTTTCCATATGCTTTCTTAACAGGGATGCCTTTATGTCTTTCGTGGAAATGTTTGGACTTATTCAATAGCCATTTTCCTGTCTAATTTTAGTACTGTAATCATTAATTTTATTCTGCTTTTTCCCTTTGTTTAAATATGTTCAACTTTTATCATTTCTAAAGTAACTTTTTCTTAGCGTAATTAAAACATGTTTTCTCTTTTACATAAAAATAAGCATGGCTAGAAAGGAATGAAATACAAATTTAGCAAAATACTATTCATTGTCACTTATATGTGCTTCAAGTTGAAATTCTCCACTGATTTTATTTTTCCAGCTGATATGGAAAACTATGCATTCTATGTCTGCTTTGCAGATATTCAATAAATCACTATTCACTGAAGAAAAATATAACTTCTCCAGCTTCTGACTTGTTTGCTCATGACCTAATGAAAAGGAAGTTATTTAATAATCCCCATCTTTGAGAGCCCATATTCAGAAGCTTTTGTTGTTATTTTGTTTTATTTTTTAGAATTTTCCTCTGTAGCCAGTTACATAGGAATAAGGCCCCATACAAAGGAAGAATTTCAGGTTTATTGATAACTGTCCTTTCCAATAAGTTAAAATGCTAGAGCCTAGAACTATGCACATCTTGATAGTAAAACAAAGAGGAATGTGATCTAACATTTAAAAAAAAGGGTGATTTTTTTTAAAAAAAGGTAAGTGAGAAAAATTTTTAAAACAAATCTAAAACTATTAAAGAAGGGACTAAACAACTCAACTAAAACATTTTTGTTTTATTTGGTTTTTGTTTGTTTGTTTAGTTTGGCTTTTTAAAAAAAATAAACACATTGGAAAGTTTCAGAAAAATCCTACCATATCTAAGTCTCCAAAAGTGTGTTACTCTTTAAAAAGATAGAACTAGAAATTAAGTCCCATTTTAGGATCAAGATTTGCTATGGATGGGTTTCTGAAGTACCCCTAGATTGCTTGGGATTTTATATATTTACTCACCACATATTTAGGAGAACCTACATTAGTCTCTATGCTAGGCTTTGAAGAAAATACCAGTAAACCATTCATAGTTCCTGACTTTGAGGTATGTGTGATCTGTTGAGGAAATCTGCAGCTTGAGTATTCAAGGAAATTAAGGAAAGAATTATGAACAATCCACATTGAAGCCTATAAGATTCTAAAAGATAGAGCGGAGGATGGGCACGAGAGTCTGGGAGAAAACATGAAATATACAAGGGCAGGAAAGCAGGTTGTCCAGGATGAAGGCAATAGCAGATGAGATGATAGGAACCCAGAGGAGACTGGTTACAAACAGGAATAAAAAGGAAGAGCTTATTGTGAGTGGTTTTATAAAGAATTGCCAGGATATGGAGAGTTATCTGGAGCTGAGAGAGGGATCATAAAGAAAAGGTTCTTTTTATGATATATTCTGGGGCTTAAATGCAGTGAATCGATTATAAAATATAAATACACAGTCCCCGTTTTTGTATTTTATCTGTTAAAATCAAGGATCCCAAAACTCAGCAATATCACATAAATTTATAATCTCTCTTGCTTAGAAATGTAGTGGGTGCAGGAGCCAGTTTATCGCATGAGTTTGATTCTCCTGATGATGGAACATCATCCATGTTTTGGCACAAAAGCTGACAGCCAACTGGTCATCTCATATACACCCGGTGTCCCTCAAAGTGCAAGAGTAAGAAACTGTCATGGATTGCTTGGAACCCAAACTCTCCAAAACCGACAGCTCAAACGAATACACTCCAATTAATTATCTCTGTTAATATTATTTTTATTAACAATTCAAATAATACCTGCATAATAGCATAGGTATTATTGTCTCTGCTATATAGATTGTTTCAAGAAAGAAAACACTGTAAACAAGTAGTATGTCCCTAAGGTAAAATACATCATCTTTTCATCATAAATCAGTACGAAAGGTGCATGTATAGAGAAGTTCAACTGCAAACTACAAGTGATGAAAAATAACTGCATAGATTTTCTCCCCTGCCTATCCTTTTCTAAATGCAAATTAATTATAAGACAATGCGTTTGTTAAATTGCCTACAACTATTTTTTAAATTCACTTCCTTATGATGTGAATTCACTTAAGCTTTCTTTGAAGATCACATAAGGTACATATGCACATAGTTTTTAAGCATAGACCTAGCTGATGTATGCATTACCTTGTCCTTTTTTATAAAGTTTTAATTATAATAAGTGGGGCTCCCCAAAATCAGCAACCAGATTACAAGGATATTTGGAGGAATATATTTTAATCTTTAAACCTGAAATAAGCACTTCCTATTTATGCTATTTAGAGTTGTAGATAAGGTTGGAATTGGCCTGGGGAGGCCCCATTTTGTGACTGGTTCATGAGGAAGACATCTCTTCACAAAGTAGAATGGAGATAAATCCACCAACCAGGTGGTCATAGGAGACCATGGTCTCCTATGAGATATTTTGGATAATCCCAGGAGTAACAAAGCTAGTGGCTCCCGAAATTTGCTGTACTTTAGAATGACCTAGAGAATATTTAAAGTCTCAATGCCCAGACTTCATGCTCACTACTTAAATCAGTATATCTTGTAGTTAAACTCAGCCTCAGTATTTCGGGGAACTCCCCTAGTGATGCCAATATGTAGCTAAATTCAAAAAACAGTGGCTTAGACAACAGAGTCAACACATTTAATCCAATAAATACTGATAAGAGTCTTTTATTAAGTGAAGTTTTTAGCAAGTCAGAAGCAGAGGCATCTATGGCATCTATAACTAAAATATAGGCCAGAACTTGTACAGAGTCCAAAAGGGGGTATCCAGCGGGTAGAGAGATGATTTCTAGTAGAGCCAAACCTAGTAAGAGTGCATTGCGTTAAAATAGCACTTAAGATGAGGTAAGATTATTGGCCTGAGCACCCCATGTGACATGATGAGCCTGAGCAAAGCCCATAAAGAAACAAAAGCACAGAATATGTTCCTGGTTCAACAACCTCAATTTAGCTTGAGTGTACATTTCCGGTACAGGAGTTGAATTTGTACAACCAGAAATTTTGATGTAAGAACCTGCAAGCATTATGCTGAAGAATTTGTATTTGATTTAATGTACTCAAATTACTTTTATCATTATGATTATCATTAGATTCAAGATCTAGATACAAGTATTAATCTTCAATGTTCTAAGCATAGGTTAGACTGGAGATGAGAGACCTAGACCAAAGAATTAAGTTAGGAGGTTCTTGTGGTCATTACCAGTGAAGGTAATATTGGCCTGAAATAGAGTTGTGGCACTGAATGTAAAAAGGCAGAAATAAATACAATTCACAAACACATCTGTAACATGACCTGAACACCTAAGAACTTTGAGTGTCTGAAACACAAGAATATGGTATCCTATAACTGAATATTCACATTAGTAAATTTAATATGGTATTATAGTAACCAGTTATGAATCTTTGTGTGATCTACTTACTATAATACTCTAATTTATAGTTTAATCATCACATTCTGTGTTTTTGACATGCAACATAATCCATTTTTATAGCATTTATAGAGCTTTACCACGAATTTTTGGGAAATCACTTTATCTTTACAGAATGGCTGATTTGATTCTCTGGAAATCTAACTTGGGAAAAAATTGGTTGAATTGGTTCACCATATTGTATCATTTAAATGCAGTAAATAGAAGATGAGTCAAATAGGAAGAAACAAATATCTTAGGAACATAAATAGGTACATCCAATCTTTTGTACTTTTCTCCATGTAAGATTGTTGGCTACTCAGGTATATATAACTCTTACTTATAGGCATGTATTACAGCTAGAGACGCTACAATGGTATCTAGATTAATCTACATATATAAACATCAATTTAATTAGAAAATAATTATTCAGATTTATTTGCATTTCAGGGAATTTAGCAATTCAGGTGATTTATGCTTAGAAACAAAATCACTGTTTCTCCCACAATTAGAGAACTGATCTTCAGACATCTTCTACAAAAGTTTTGTATAAGGCACATACTTTTATTCTACCATAAAGATATAGTATTGCAGTGTTTACATCAGCACTGGGCAATGATGGATATATATGTCAAATGTAATTTTTGCAACATATCCTTACACATAGTTGCATATTCATTGGATGGACTGTCTCTAATTCAATACTTTTCCTACAGAATAATTGTCCTGTCAAATATTTCACACGTCCATGTTTTTTAACATTAGCATTAAAATCACCAGTGAAAATAATCCATATGAACTCTTTGTATTCTTCTACAGTCACAGAACTGAATTTGAGAATGAGGAAGCAGATAACAACTTGAGAAAATGTAAAGAGTTGTAACTTGGAGCCACAGTGCCAGGCAATGGGGTCACACAGCAGCTTGATCATCCACATAGCTTTACACAATGGCCTTTGGGTCATGACTTTCACCAGGTAGCTTACTCAAAAAAAGAAAAATTAATTCTCTATTAACTCCTTTATTCACCAAATCTTTTGCTCAAGAAGAATTTTAAACACTTTCTATGTGCCAGGCATATAGAGAATAAATGCAAAGAGAAATCAAGGGCAGTCACTACCCATCAAGAATTTAAGAAAAGCAAACTAGTAGATGAGATATATATATATATATATATATATATATATATATATATCTCATCTACATACACACACACATACACACACACACACCATTAGAGACACAGAAAACCTTCAAAAAATCATATACATATATATATATATATATATATATATATATATATATCTCAAAATAATGGGTGTCATTTATGGTGCAGTGATACTCACACTTGAGCATGTATCAAACTTACCTACAGGGCTTCTCAAAGCACAGCCTGCATGACCCCATCTCCAGAGTTTCTGATTCAGTAGATCTGGAGGGAGTCCTAAAACTTTACATTTCTAACAAGTTTCCAGGTGATGCTAATGCTACTAGTCTGAGGAAACACATTTCCACTTTGAAAATCTCTAAAATTCAAGTTTGTGAATAGCAGCTGGCGTTCTGAGAGTAGCTGGATTAAATCTGTCCAGGGAAGAAGGTGAGGACAAAGGTCAATTTCTCACTAGGCCTGAAAGGCTGCATAGTCGATGTGCAAAGACATTCCAGGTTGAAGAAAAGAAATTACCTGAATTAAGGCCATACCTGACAAGTCCACCTGTTGGTAGGAATCACATGGAAGAATTTTTAAACTCTTGAAGGGATGACCTTAGTAATCTACATTTGTAATAAGTTGCTCTAGACAGTCTTTTCATGAAGAAAATTTAGGACACATGGAACTGAAGCATGGAGTATAAAAGAATGTATCATTTTCAGAGAAGCCCTGGTATAGAGTGGTTTAACTAGAACCACTGTATACTAGAACTAGTAGTCTATACTAGAACTAGATTTATATAGGACATGAGTTAAGTTTATATTTCTGATAATCGGCAAATGAAATTTTTAGTACAAGTATGTTTCATGCAATATTTGGAGTCTACCATACTAAAAATACTTGTTTCTCTGAAATTCAAATTTAACTGAGCATCTTGCATTTTTGCTTGCTAAATCTCACAACCCTTAGAATGTAGAATATGTGTCAGGTGGAGAAAAGAACCAGAAATAATGAGGCTGAAACAATATTATATTATTAAGCCAAATAATAGTAATGTACTATTTTTCATGTGGGATATGCAAATGTAGCACATAGCTAATGAGGCTTAGATATCTGAGCCTATTGCTTACATACGTCTTTTGAAGGCCTTAGGGACAGTCCTTAACAGTATGTTCACATTTTATGTTTATATAAAATTTTTAAATGTATGATATTTTTGTATTCTTTTCCTTAAAAAGGGACTCCAAAAATGTATTCACTTCAGGCTCAAGAAAATTTTGATCTTCCCCTGCATGTGGGACCATCATACGTATCAAATGGATCACAAAAATGGTATTGATAAATACCAACTCTTAAGTAGAAAGATAAGTGCAATGAATGCCCAGAGAATTTGAAGATCTTTTTGATCATATATCATCAAAAACTGCTACTTGAAGTTTAAATAGCTTCAACACTGGCAAAATGAAGCCTATTCTTTGAATTACCCTCAGTGTGTGAAATTAATGCCCCAGGGGCACAGAGAGAATATTTCATTTCCCAGATATAATTGACCATGGGACATTATATTCATAGGGTATCTTGAAGAACTAGTGTTCCAAGGAGAAACATTGATAATGTCGTGTTAGAGAAGCCTATCTGTGTTACCGAAGGGCAGATAAGTATTACAATTCCAAAGGAAACAGTATTAATGGGCCTGTGTGGAAATCAGTTCTTATTTTCTAAATAATATTGCTGATTTCTAGCTAATCGAGTAATGTATAACCTAATAGAAGACTAGAATACTTAAAGAAAAATGACTCATCAGCATGGATTTCATTTAAAATAATACAGAACTAATTTTTCCCTTTGGTCCCAGTAGAAATTCAGGTAAAGAGAAGTAAGTAAATGGAAACCAAGTTAAACCAGACCAAAAATAGTAAAATATGAAGAAAAAAATGCCAAATGACCAGGAAGCCAAATGAATAAACAGATTGATGTTTTATTTTTCATTATCTTGAAAAATTATATAAATTCTAGAATAACAGAAAAATTCTGGTCTTAAATAAAAGACTCAAAGAATGTAATTTCTTGGAGAACTTTAAGGAAGGGAAAAGGGGGAAATCAGCCTACAGAAAAAGTTTAGTATGTCTTGAAAATGGCTGCAAGCAGATCTTTGGTCCCAGCACCACAGCTATTAAACTATGATATACACCAGACCCAAGATATTTTTTTAAATGCCATAATGTAACAAAAGTAATGACTGGCAAAACCAATAATTCATTTAAAAATCCAGACCTCCAAAAGGCCAACTTGGTCACACCTATACAATAAAGAAGTGTTGAAACTCCAATCAGAGTTATACACAATATACATGTCAAATATCTCTTACCAAATGTTCCCATAGATTTTCTTTATGTATTAAATTCAAATGTGTAGAGTACTTGGTTATGTTCAATAACAGGAAGTCACAGCTAAAAGTTGACAAAGAATAATTGATTGGAAGAACTTTTTCAACAACAGGAAATATGGGGAGTTACCTAGGAAATAGAAAAATAAAACGACATGATGAACTAGCCATATCATTCATTCACTCATCCATCCAACAAACATGGATTAAGAACCTATAATGTGCCGAGTGATGTACAAAGCCATGTGAGAGGGACAAAAAAATTCAAATTGTTCAGCAGAATATCTTAATGTCTCATGAAAAGAAGAAAGTAACTATTTGCTTTCACTGAAATATATGTTATGAGGCACTGGCAAAACTAGAGTTATTATTTGCCTGCTATTGATTAAACTGCTATTGATCTAAAAAAAATTATTCAAAATTATTAGTTAACATTTGGTTTCCATAATCAATAGAAGTTGCTATACTAACTTTTTTGTTTGTTGGACACAAGTGTCAGTGAGTAGTAGATGTGTTTTGGGCAAAATGGTAAGGTAGGAAGGCAAGGATGCCTAATGATGGGTTAGCATATTAGCAACACAGAAGATACAGCCTTGAGGGTATAAATCTTTTTGTATGAAAGTAATACACTTAAACAAAGTAGTGAATGTAAGTGTAAACAGGTTGCCAAACTCAGAATTTTACCCAAGGAAATAAATACTAGTAAGTAGAACAGTCAGGCAAGAATTGAGACACACATAAAAGAAAAAAGAAAAAATAGTTTTATGAAAGAACATCAGCAAAGAGTGTTCATGAGTCATTTTCTACTCTGTTTCCACCTCTTCTATTTAGCATTGCAATGACTAAGACATTTAGAAGAATGGCCCATAACTAACTAGTTTGGGTAAAAAGAAGAATTTTTCTACAGATGGAGAAAAACAATCTTGTTCCTTCTTCACACAAAGTTCCAACATGTTTGAAATTTAGCACTGGAGAGATTGGGAGAGCTTGATAATTAGACTGAGCTTGAAACGTTCCACTAAAAGAATGATTTGAGAGACATCCGGGAGTACCTTCTTTTCTTCTTCATTTAACCTCAGCATGGACCACATCAACTTGATCTCTTAGTTGGACTATACTACCTTAGATAGAGAACTGTTTTCAAAAAGTATGTAAAATTATTTCAAGTCTAAAGATCATGAAGAATTTCTCTCAGGATAAATAATAATTTTTATGAAAGTATTGTATTGTCAGTTCATTTGCAACCAAATTAGCTTGCTTAAGTAGATAAATCCCAAGCAATGGGTGAAATAAACTAGTAGACCCATGGGTTTTTAACCCTCTAGCTATGTCTCTCAAATGTTTCTAATCTCTGCTCCACTAATAGCCCTGACCCTGCTAGGTAACAATACTCTGGGAAATTGAAGATAAGAGTTTAGAGAAAAAAATCATAAATAAAGGTAGAGATTGTGGATAATGGGCAGTATTGTTAACATAAAGAAAGAAAGAAAGAAAGCTGCATGAGTGGAGAATAACATTTTCTGCAGGACTGGAAGAAGAGGTCTACAGAGGTATAGGTATAGTCTCTAAGTTGGGATAGGCAATGACATAGATTACCAGACAAAATCAGGTCATGTGTCTTATCCACTGAGTTCCAATTAATGTTTTTATTTTCATGGATATATTCTCAAAATTCCCTGAATTTCTTTTTAGAGTTGTATATTTCTTTGTTTTTTCTTAATTGACAGTTTTATATCTGTTTCATTTCTTACTTGATTACCTTGAGTTTAATATTGTGTGCTATATGGGATGAAGAAAAAGTATGATGTGTTTTCTACCTTTAAATTGCTTGCAGTCTATTTAAAGATGCTAACAGAGGAAACAGTCACTCACGACAAAGCACAAGAAATAATGGCATGATTCATACTTTAGAGTTAAGAGAATCTGGGTCTGAGGAACTATTGGCATTAAAGAACACTTCAAGAAGGAAATGCAGCTTCAAATAGGCGTTGAAGAAGGCATTCTATCTGCCTAAGCAAAAGATTCATCTCTTTACAGACATTAACTTGGGTGGGATACTCATGAAAGAGGGGAAGACCTATCCAGTCTGTCCCCCTGCCTCCCACTCTAACCAATTCTCCAGCCACTGCCCCACTTTGCTTTCTCTGCATCAACCATGCACCCCCTTGATCTTTTGTCATTGCTGTTCCCACCACCCTGAACACTCTTCTTCTCGCAGTTGGTCACAGGTCTTCCTCCCTAACTTCTTTTTGGTTTCTTCTTAAATATTAAATAAGTATTCATTAGAGAGGACTTTGTCGATCATCTTATGAAAATATAGTAAATCTCCTCCCTTCTTTCCTATTTTCATGGGATTTGTCTGTCTGTCTGCCCCCAGTAAATTGAAAGCTCTAAAGGGGCAGAGATTTTGTTGCTACTCTATAAACTGCTACAAGCTCACTACCCTAGAAGAGTGCCAGGCACATGTTAGGCATTCAATAAATATGTGGCAAAGGAAGGGAAGAAAGGAGGGAGGGAGGGAAGAATTTCAAAGTGTGGACCAATTTCAGGTGGACTTGAAACATTCAAGTGTTTCAAATGCAAATATATTAGATATATCTTATTATCTAGTAAGTCATTTTAAGGTAGACTTACTGATCAATTTGAAAGTTGTTTGCCTGTGAATTCTTTGCTAGGCAATATTAACATTTACCCCTGCACTCCCTTAAACATTTATCAGTAGCTTAAACTTTAACAACAGCCATGGTTTTCTTTGGCAGAGCAGGGACTGTGCTCATATCCTAGCTTGTCAATGGAAAGAAAAAGAAATACAGCTGAACAAGTGAAAGATTAGCATGGCAACCACATACTTAAACGGGAGCAACTGCTATGCTGCTGCTTCTCAGGCTTAAAGAAGTAAAAGATACTGCCCCAGGCCATTTTCAGCTGGAATCTTAGGAGTATGCACACAAGCACACAAAGCTACCCTGACATAAGCATGAGTGAAATATATTATCTGATGCTCAGGAACATTTCCTTCTTCCCTCAAAATGAATAATTTATTGCTTTTCTACCTGCTGTTTCCAAGCTCACATTAATGATTCATTGATTGGTCTCAAAAACAGATGCTTGTAATTAAATCATAGGTTCTGTAAGATCATTAACTGGTTCTTTAATGGCTAAAAGAATTAAGGAGAAACGGGGTAGTTTAAATTCGTAGATTCAAGAAGGATCACAGGAAGCATTTTCTGTACAAATGTGACATTGGCTGTGTTGTTTCCCTTTGTGATAGAAATTTCTCACCTTCTAAACTTTCATTTGTATGGAACTTGTTTTCGTTTTCTTAACATCAACAGGTTTATTATTTATTCCACCCACAGAAATTCTGACTCAGATGGCTAGTGAACTGTAGCCTTGTTACTTGTGTTCATATTTCTTATTGCTCTTTGTTTTATGTCTTAGTTTATCCTTATTAGAATCTCTCAAAAAATGAATAATTTTATTGGTGAAGTAGCATTTCATTATTTGTGGTAAAAAAAAATGCTTTCTTAATTATACCACATAGGTTTCAGCATGTGCAAAGTCTTCTAAAAGTACTTTAGATGGTAGTTGCTTTGGAGATGTGGTAACTCTTATTTCTATTAATGTTTACATTTCTGCCTCATTCTCAGATGAAATTGTTACTTATATTTTTATCCACTTGAATCTTGAAGTTAAGGTAAGCTGAATATGTCTAACTTTCTTTCATACACATTACTTTGTTCTACAGAAGAAATTTATAGAGTAAGGTGAATGTGACAAACTCAAATCAGATTTTCTTCTAACGTCTGCCTCTGAATCCACAATTGGGGGTGCCTGCTACAAAACCAAGTATGTTTCTGAAAACCTTCCCTCTCCTATAATTGCTGCGGGATTCATTCATTCTAACCAAACACATTCCAGGGAATGTATAACAAGGATGTACATGAACAATACTCAAATTCAAACATCCATAGATGGTTAAATTTTACCACTCTTTAGCTTACAAGCCAAATCAACTGAAAATTTCAGAAATGTTTGTGTTAGGGATTTGGGTTTGAGATGTGAAACAAATGACATCCTTAAACATGTTATCCTTGGTCTTCACAGCACATAGTACCTTGATACAGAATTATTTAGTCACAGTTTGCTCAAAAACTATTATCATGAAATTAACTTTGGGATGTAACAGCTTGTAAAAAAGAATGTTTAATGGCAACCATTAGTATGTTTAATACGTGTGTGCTCAATGTAGTGTCATCTTTACTAGATGATTTACTTCACAATGTTTTCATTACTGTTCCCCAAATGAAAATAGGAAGTCTATTAACTAGTTTACAACTATTATTTTTGGATACTATTACAGAGACACAGGAGCACTTTTAACTCAAACACGTAGTTTTGTGGTGGTATGAAATTGAGGCAGCACTGCAATGCAATATTGAAAAAATTGGAATGCAATAAAGAAATGTAGATATCACATGTGACTACTTCATATACAACCCAGACTCCTCATTTATTGTTTGAACACAAGGGTTAGTTTTTTATTTTGCCAAAAGGGCATGGTCAGGAAGTCAATGTGATGTCATCTTGCTACAGGGCAGAAGTTTTAAGAAGTAAGATATTTTTTAATGATGTACTATTGCAGGATAGAAGTTCTCCCCCACATGAAACTACATATTCACAGACTTTGTATTGTCAATGTGCGTCTGTTCTTACTCATCTGGAGAGGAAAAATAAGATTTCCAGTTTTCTGCTGATCCAACATCATTTCCCATAGGCAGCACAATACACCAGCACACAGTTAGCACCACTCTGGGACAAAACTGTTGAAAGGAAAGAAACAGCGATCATTCTGAAAACATGTAAAGCAACACTGATCATAAGTAATTTTTGTTGGGTGGGGTAATACTATATAATATGATTTTTTGTGTCTAAGTTTTCTCTAAAAGATCGTTTGGGCTGGGTCCAGAAGTTCCCTAAGCAACCTTGATTATCAATGTTGTCATGCTTCAGCTTTTGGCAGTTTTGATTCATTACTGATTATCATTATTTAAATATGAATATTGTCCCTTCCTATTATGAAAAGCTATTACAAACATATATGGATTTATATAAAGGTTGATGACTATATGCTTTTTATATTAGAAAATCATGTGAAAACAAAATTAATCTGATGAATGCTGTTAATTATTTTAACTTTTTTATTAGGTATAAAATGTTCATAAAATTATTCTCTCTATAACTTACCAAGATTTATTAGCTTGTGTAATTTTTATAATCAGAGGAGTCTGGTTTTCTAATTAAAATTTTGTCAAAGAAAATGAATCGTGTGGCTCTTTCCTTCCTTGGAAGCATACTGTAAAAATGCCAAAAATGCAGTTCAGGTCTTCTCTCCTCCTCTCTGTGGTATGCAAATGAAATTGTATGCAGCCAACACACCTGGATCTGGGGCTATTTTAAATTCCCATTTCCGGCCTGAGGTAGGGTGGTGCATGGTGAAAAAAAAACCTTTATGCATATCTGAGTACCATTAGAACAAGTCAAAATCAGGAAGTTAATGTAATTAAAAGCTGATTATAATGGGGTTCTAATCATGCTCTCTTAAAAGTCACTTTTCCTGTCTACTCTCAGTCTGAGAGAAAGTGCTAACATGATGTCCTAAGTGCTATCAGCTTTCCTCCAGGAAAAGCTGTCAAGTCTCCATGCCTCATAAGCCTTAATTATTCCATTTCAAATGCCAAATGAAAAAATTACTATTACTGTAAATATAATTGCTGAATCTCAAAACCCTGATATCCTAAGAAATAATAACAAAAACAATCAGGAGAAAAGACATCATTAAATCACATATGATAGCACTGCCATTGCCAAATTTCCTACAAAATGACAACAGGAAAGGAAAATATTATCAGAAAGAGTGATTATTTGAAACTTTTCTTCTCCAAAGAGCAAAAAAACTATTTCCAATAATATCAACTTCAGGACCATATTTCTTCATCTTTTCACTCCTTTGATCTTGAAAGTTTACCAGTTCCCTCAAGAGTTCCCTGACAAGATGCAAAGGTTTCTAGACAAGGTAATATGGTAGGTCAATAGTTGTGAACATTAACAGCTTAGTTATCATTTGTTCATTAACACCTTAACAGGCATTGGCAAAAATAGGAGTTGTCTTTTTTTTCCTCTGAGGGATGATTTGTTATAGCTCTAATTGGGGAAATAAAATGAAAAAGAAAGCTTAGGATGAGAAAATTTTACCTCCTCCTTAATTTACCAAAATCCAGAATTCCTTTAAAAAAAAGAGTCAATCAAACATACGTAATTTTGACACAAAAGTCACATGTCTCAAAATACCCAAAGCTGCATGGTAATGCCACAACAGGCTATTAGGTCGATATTTTACTAGAAATAACACTATTCAAGCTATTATTTACTATTATACACCATGTCTAAGCATGAAACTATCCGTATGGGCTTACAACCTCAGTTTATAACCTCTGGGTCTTTGCATCATGCTTTACACATTAAACAGTCCACACATCACCAACAATCTAGGTATGAATCTAGGCTAAACTAGGCTTTCTGTATCCTAATAATTCAGGATGGATGGAATGTTTGCTATAGAAAGGAGGTCATTGTACCTTCCTTCTGTATTGTACAGTGATTCCTTCTGTATTGTGCAGCCATCAGCCTGCAGTTGAAGTTCTATGTCCAGTTCTGGGCAAGCTGCTTCCAGAGTGTCACTGATGAGCTGGAGCATCATCAGTTCAAACAGGATGACCAGTATAATGAGGTGTCTGGAGATTGTATCATCTGAGTAATTGTTAAAATGGCAGAGAATATTCTTTTCTTGCATTTTTTTCTCTAAGGCAAGATTCCTCAGGGGAACAAGTGAGCTCTCTTCAAGTATTTGAGGAACTGCTTTGTGAAAAATGAGTGAGATTTATTCTGATTAGACTAAATAGTAGACATAGATATTAGATCAATGTAGGGAGAAATTTTTTATTGTACATGATTTCTGTACAATACAAAAGGGAATAAAAATGGCCTATTAGGCCAAAAACAAAAACAAAAAACCTTGATAATTGCCATTTGGTAAACTGGCAGTTACCGTTTGTTGAAATATGAATCTAATAGTAAAGAGAAAATCAGTAAATATCTATATCATCTCAAAAGGATGTGATGAGGACCACACATTACTAAAAATTCAAGTCAGGGTGGGAGAGAAATGAATATAAAGGCAATATGCCCATTTAGTCAGATTTCAGAAAGCATTTTAGATAATATTATCAAAATCTTACTTGCAAATTGCTCAGGCTATGCTTGTTCCCATGGTTGAAAGGCTGACAGCATCAACAAATGAATAGAAATGAATCTTGCTGAAGGGAGGTGTCATCTGCAGCCCCTGGAGTCAAACGTTGTTTTACATCTTCATTATTGATTCAGGACAACTGATAAATGAAATCTGCAACTGACAATAAAGCAGGCAGTGTCCCTAAACCTCACAAGAGAGGAAAATAAAAAAATACAAGCATAAAGATGTTAAACATGCAAGCATTAGAGAACTTAAGTGAATTTGGCTCAGAAACACACTGGGAAATTTACCAGAAACTCAGGTTTGAAGGTGCAGTTAGGAGAAACACACACACGAAAATAGTTAGGCTGATAGAGCTGAACGAAGATCTGAGAAAGCAAGCTGAGAGTCCATTTGTAATATTTATAAGAAATAAATAGGCCAGTGCTATTTGGGGTGACTTGCAGTATAAAACAGAGAGATGAAAATAGTTTTTAGATATCACTGAAATGGAGAGGGTTGGCCATTTTTAATCCCAAAAGGGTTTGAGACAAATTGGGAGGATCAACAGTGAGAGAAAAGACTGGAAGCAGTTGGATTAATACGCATACAAAAATAGGCTGTGGCTCAGGAAAAAGAGAGCAGTGACACACAGTGGCGACACAAGTCAGGAGGAAAATAATGAATCTCAACCAGTGAACCCAAGATAGGCAGCACTTGTTCACTTTGTTGGGCTCTCATGGTGATAGGTGCTTGAAAAAGCAACTGACAGCATTTCTCAAGGCAGAGAACAAATGCCATTATCCCACTACTATGAAAACTACAGGAGCTAGAAGGGGATGCTACTTGGTATAAACCAGCATTTCTGAATTTTCAGCTGCAGAGCGTTTTTCCAAAGGCTGGTGCAGAAATCAAATGTTTACAGCAGATGAGAACAACAGCTCTGAGCCCAGGAGCCTATCCCTCAGGCTCCCTGGATACTTTTGAAAAACAGCGGTAAGCGAAAGCGCAGAGGATCTCTTTTGTTAACTCCTTTGTTTCAAGCACCTCTAAGGGGCTGAAGACAACAGCTAGGCTTGTCTACAAAATAAATGAATTCAATTAATGACATCTCAGGCTCCTTTCTTCTTTCCCTGGTACCTGTGGGTATGGCTCTGCCAGTTTAGCAAATGAAACCCAGAACCTAAAGTACAATTTAAAAAAAAAAAAAAAGAAAGAAAATCATATCCTGTTATTAACTGAACTATGCAAGAAAATGAGATCTTCTTCCTAGGTCAGCTTCCACTTGCTCTTCAGTATGTATTGCCCAGACTTCTATCCAAAGCTACAAACATCTAGCTTCTGCTTGTACACATCTTATAGTGGGAGCCTTACTCCCTTGTGAGGCCACACATTCTGTGTTTAGACAATTGCTAGAAAGTTCTTCCCTCCATTGATCTGATATCTACATCTACTTTCTAGTCTAATCAGAATAAATCTCACTCATTTTTCATAAAGCAGTTCCTCAAATACTTGAAGAGAGTTCACTTGTTCCCCTGAAGATTCTTGCCTTATAGAAAAAAAAAATACAAGAAAAGAAAATTTCCTTCCTTTTCAACAGTTGCTCAGGTAACATGATCTCCAGACACCTCATTACACTGGTCATCCTGTCTGAACATGGCTCCAGCTCATCAGTGACTCTCTGGAAGCAGCTTGCCCAGAACTGGATAGAGACCTTCATCTGCAGGCTGATTGCTGTACAGTACAGAAGGAACATTTATTACATTTTTTTTTTATTCCTCATAGAACATACAAATGGATTGGAGAGTTGGCAAGGGGAATGAAGTTCATCCCAGAACCTTCCTTAGTCACTCCAGCTTAGCACTGTGGTTTGTTTTTTTTTTATATATATATATATAATTATTATTACCCGATATCAAACACCATGACTACTTGAGCTCGCTTTGTCTTATCTTTCTAGAATAGAAATATTAGTCCCTAATCACAGAAGAACATTTTTTTAAAAAAAGAAAAGAAGAGAAAGAGAAAGGGGGAGAGAGAACAGGAATCTTGCTCTATTGCCCAGGCTGGAATGCAATCTAAAAATAGGTATTAAAAACCTCTTTTATGTCTATAATTGTACTTATCGGGGAGACAGGAAGAAATAAGGGAAGAAAATAACAAACAAACAGCCAATAATATTTCATTTAAGTCTGAAATGCTAAGCAAATGCTGAAGAATGATTTACTTTCTTCTTACATTTATTGCTTTCTTCTTGCAGACTAAGGTCATATTAGCTGTCTCTGCAGCCGCATCACACTGTTGGCACAAGCAGGATACCATCATCAAACAAGTAGAGGATTATTACTTCTCAGCCGCTCCTCTGCTATCTTCTTACTAATTAGACACTGAGAACTCAAACCTTTGTGATGTACTGATATGAAACAGGAACGGGAAAGCCCTAGGTGGCCATACTAGAGTTAGTGCCTACGTTTTTAAGAAACCCACCAGCCACAGAAGAGCAGTTATTTCTTGCCAGCTTCCCTGACTCAGACCCTATGTAACATCCTCCAGAAATTAATACAAAAGCAATTTCAGTGTCCACCGTTCTATCAGGAATGACTCATTTATTTACTCAGGCAGCCAGTGTTTATTGGTATCCCCATCCACCCTTTCATATTTGGGGAGTTAATTCCTAATTTGGACGACACTTTATAATTTCTAGGCTGTGGAAGAGAATGAGCGCTAGACAAATCCTGCCTTCTTTCTACTTTTATTTACAAAATTTTGTTTACAAAATTGCAGTGAATTCAACAGTTCTCTTTAAAGCAATACTGTATGCTCCCCTTCCATTACAGAAACAATTATTACTCATCATACCTGCTGCATGTCAAACAAAAAAGGTGTGTTCTAAAGTGTTTGATCCTAGATACTGGAAGTCATTTTCCATCTCACCTGTGAAAAGCTTCTCCTTGCCCATAATGACATTGGCTTTCTGGAAGACAGGTTGATCTTCTGAGACTCCCAAACCTCGTGCATATCCCAACTGTG